CAGATAATTCTACTTGTATGTCTCTGTTGTGGGTGTCAGGTCGTTTTTTTGCCCGTTCTTGTTTTTCGTAAGTCTTTTACCCAAGGGTACTGTGCAGTAAATCCAACTGTGTAAGTAACCGACAGCCGAACATTGATTCCGCGGTGGTTTCGTTTGTCATGTTTCCATAAGCGAAAAGGGCACGGTCCAAGCGCACACGCAGTGGGACTGCTGGTTGCTTCGGTAACATATTCTTCACTGTCTGCGCAGTTCTCTCAACTAGACTATTTGATGATGGATGATAAGGCGCAGTAGTTACGGGTCTAGTGCCATTCGAGGTAAGGAAGGCAGAATATTCGGCACTAGTGAATGCTGTTCCCTTATCTGACACTAGTGTTCCCGGAAGACCAAAGGTTGCAAGCGTCATACACAGTTTAACTATTGTGTTGGCTGAATTTGCTGTGCGCAAGACGTGGGCATCAAGCCACTTGGAATGGGCATCAATGCTCAACCAAATTTTCTGGCCTGTAAAAGGGTTGAAAAAATCAACATTAATACGGTTCCCTAGTGCTTAAGGCCACTTCCTTGGTTGTATTGGCACATGTGGTACAGCGTTCTGATCATCCAGACGAAGGATGCAACTCCCAACCTTCGACATCAAGTCCCCACCTAAACCAGACCACCATACATAAAAGGGGGCTACCGACTCCAGGGTCTGCATCATGCAGTTCATCCAGCTTTTTGGAGACTACAACCCGTGTTCCCCACAGTACGCATCCGTACTGTAGACTGAGTTCGGTCGCTGTTACGGAAAGGCATGAGTTCCTCGGCCGTATTTTCTGCCCTCGCAACATGAACGTAGCATTTCACGAGAGCTAATATAGGGTCTGTATCGGTTTCTTGGCGAATTTCTGTTGAGATAACTAGATAATTGTTGGGATACTGGATCAAATTCACTAGTTCATGTGGGGCAAATTCTGCCGAAAGTATTTTCGGTAATGAAAGCCGACTGGGGGCATCAACAGTGGTATTTTTCCGGCCAGAGACGTATGGGGTTGGGTATATTTATGCAGAGAGAATCAAGGCCCAACGGGCCATTCTGGGGGAAGCCATTTGCTGCTTTCCTTTTTCATGACCAAGGAGTGATAACAGCGGTTTATGGTCTGTGTAATTCACAAAAAATTGATCGATCTGTTATTGATTAGATCGGATAGTACCGAAAACAGCCACGGTTGCCTCTGGATCAAACAGAGTAATTACGTTCTACTGCCGTCAAGGTTCGCCAAGCATAAGCAACAAGTCGATGGCAGCCGTCCGGCACTTTGTGCAGTGATACAGCTCCAAGACCGTAGAGCGAAGCATCACCAGAAAGAACAATATGGTTTTATGGTTCGTAATACACAAGGACTTCGGCGGATGCCAACAGTTTCTTAATGGCGTTAAAAGCACTCTCCCAAAATTTGGTCCAATTCCAATGTTGGATTTTGCGTATGATTTGATGGATGCGGATGCAAGTGCTTTGCCGCTGATGGTCTAAGTCGGGAAAACTGCGTGACCGCTCACAGGAACGACCGCAACACGTTCACGTTCTTGGGTGCTGGTACATTAAGTATCGCTCTAGTCTTTTTTTCTAATAGGCGTAGCACCTGTCGTGACAACCGATATTCAAGGTAGCGTTCACTTAGAACAAATCTTCTACACTTTTTTCTTCTTTAAAACTAGTCCACACACTGACAATTTTTGCAGAGCTACATCCGATGTGTGAAGGTGCCTATCAGTGGTGCATCCAGTAACCAAGATGTCATCCAAGTAAAAGCATGTATTTGATATCTTTCACCAATATGTTGGAAGATAGCTGGCGCAGAGCTTACTCCAAAAGGCATGTGTTTGTAACGAGATAACCGAAGTTGTATTCTGATGGTGATGTAGGCACGTGAGTCCTCATTGAGTTCGTTCTGCTACTAACCGTGACTCAGGTCTAGTTTGGTCAAACTTTCGCCATATGTAAATGAAGCGTAGATGTTTTAAATCTTTGGCAGTGGGCTCTAGTGCATGGTTGACCGTAACTTTGTAGCCTCCACCGATCTATGTGGCGTCATCGCTCTTTAATCTCCGCACTATATTAGCTGACGAATCGGAATACCGAATGGGTTCAGTTGTGTCTTCTTGCTGTAATCGTCCGTGTTCAATCTCGACTTTGTCTGGACTTTTACATTACTTTACTGAGGCTAGTTCCTGCAACAGAATGAGCGGCTTCATGAATGTCGCGGATTGCAGCTGCCCAAACGCGGCATTTGGCGGCAAACTTCACGCAGATACTGATCAAATGATTCCACCATTGACGAGCACCATGCATAACATGGAGTCTCAGAAGATCGACATCCAGTTTCCCTGTAGCGAGCCACGTCTTCAGTTGTCCACTAGGGCGACGACACAAACCCTGGCAAGGCAAGGGTGAAACCACGGTCCTAGTAAAGGCAGTGTTTGGTCTGCGGAAGACGTGATCGAACCACTGAAGTCTGCGGCGTTGTATGAGTGTTGTGAGCTTCAGAAGACCGTAACAGCGCTTACGGATTTCGTCACTGGTGATACGCTCATGCCACTGCGTTTTCAAGATAAGTCTTAGACACCAATGGTTGAAGACTTCCAGGTTCCGAGTGTCTTCGGATCGCAGCGGCCATGTTTCTCAATCATAGAGTAAAGTGACACGAATGGTTGCTGAGAATACTCGGATTTTCGTTCCCAGACTAATTTCCGTCCTTCGCCACAATGTGTTTCTCAGCTGTATGAAGGCTGTTCTAGCGCTCTGAATACGATTCCGGAGTTCAGATGTAGCCTGACTATTGGGGATTATAGTGGATCCAAGATACTTGAACTCAGAAACAGATTCGATAAGTTGTCCATGGAAGCAGAGCGATGGGGTTAACAATGAGAAGTACTTCGTCTTGCCGATGTTCATTTCGAGGCCGACCATAGAGGCTGATTGGTTGATCCGCTTTAGCAGTGAATGTAGTGATATAGCATCTTCCGTAAGGATAGCGATATCGTCAGCAAATTCTAGATCTGACAGACAGAAGTCAGGGCTAACTTGAACACCACGATAGCCCTTAATGGCATGATGCATAACCCAGTCGACTGCGAAGTTGAACAGCACTGAAGAAAGTGCGCAACCCTGCCGGACTCCCGTATTGTTGTCGAATTCCTTTGCTTCTTCACCATAGACCCGAATCCGGGCTTTCGTGCAACGGTGATATGATATCACCAAGTTAACGACTTTAACCGGCGCACCATCAGCAAATAAGCTTCTCCAGAGTGCTACTCTGTCAACTGAGTCAAAGACAGCTCGAAAATCAACGAATCACACAAACGTGGGCTGTTGGAACTGGTAGCGGTGTTCAAGTACTCGACGTAGATTGGCGATTTGGTTAGTGCAGCCTCTGCCTAGACGTAAGTCACCTTGGTTATGGCGAGTTCGCAGGTTGCTCTCATTGACCAGACGGGAAAGCGAGGTTTGTGCGAAGGTTTTTGCAGCCACATGGATGAGGCTTGTCCCACGATACTGCACAGAGTCCCATCACCTTTCTTGGGAAATGTCAGTAGTACTGAGGTATCCCATGAAGAAGGACAGATTTCGGTCTCCCATATCGAGCAGAAGAGCGCTTGCAAATGGTCAAGGAGCGCTGCTATACAACCTTTGTGGATTTCCGCTGGAATCCCTTCCGCTCCAGCAGTTTTCTTCGGGTTCAGTCGACGAAGGATGTCTGCAATTTCTTTGGGATATGACGGTGAGCAATCCGCCTCGTAGCCTGACTGGGTTAATGCTGAAATGGGTGCCGTGGTGTGTAGTGGATTGTTTAAGAGGTTGCTAAAATTCTCTACCCATCTGGAAAGTTTTCCTTTAGTATCGGAGATGATTTGGCCTTCCGAATTGCGCACTATCGGCTCTGGTGAATAGCGCTTGCCGGTTGCTAAACGGACGAGACGAAATAGATGACACAAATTGCTAGAATTTGATGCAGCATCCATGTTGCCTGCGATATCAGACTAGTAGTGCTTGCGATCATTCCTTGCTGAGTAGGTTGCCTCAATTCTGAAGCGACGGTAGTCTGAGGAATTCGTGAGACGTGCTTCTATCGCTTTAGCGGACCAGCGGAAAGTATCTTCAGTGATCCAGTCCTTCACAGGCATAGAGGTAGAGCCCAGGGTAGATGAGGCGGCGCGTTGAACTGACGATTTTAGCCTAGACCAAAGAGCGTCTAAAGATTCATCTACAAGTATGAGGCATGGTGCACTGGCAGAAATTTCTACTTCTATTGCTGCCTCAAGGGATGAGCAACAGTCAGTATTTTCCCCTGGGGCAGTGTTGGTGGAAACTTTCGCGCGTTGTCAAGCGGAGTAGTACCTGGTCCGAACCACCTTTTCCCGTTTTAGCCCCTTTGTACGCTCGACAGTCCTCGATGGAGGACATCCACCGGGATCGGGTTTATACGTAATCTATCTGGCTTGCTGTATGACTATCATTGGAGTACCACATCAGAAAATGCTTCCTGGGATGCTGCAACTGAGTACTCGTTGTGCACAACCAGTTAAGGTCCGCGAAGCTGAGCGTGCAGTCTGCATTATGACAGCACTCTCCAAGGGTGTGTCTCCCGAGTATGTGACAGATCTGGTCGTTCCTCGGCCCGGTTCGTGGATTTCAGTCCCCAGCAATAATGAGGGTGCCTGTAGCCTATCGTAAAATTCGTCTTTGTCCCTTTCCGCTGAGGGTAAGATTGGTGCGTAGACAGAGATCATGGTCAGATTCATAGGGTGACCTTTGAAACCTGCAACTGCTATTATAGCTGATACTGGCTTCCATGAAAGGAGAGCGTCGTGGGCCTGATGACTGAGAGGACGGCGACCCCATGGTTGCCAGAATTCTCTTCCGGCCTACTGTGGTAAAGCTAATATAAGGTGTCTACAACAGGTACTTTGATTTGCCGAGAGCCATAGCCCGGTATTCGAGATTCTGATAGGCATGCTATGTCGATCTGTTAGTCATATAGTGTACGCATCGTCAACGCTTGACTGCCGAGATCCAACAGAGTTCTGACATTCCGGCATCAAATAAATAATTGCTTCCGGGGATTGAGGGCTCAGCTAGCTTACTTGTCACTGGCCACTGTGTTAAAGCAGAATGCGTCGCCTACCGGGAACGCCCTAGCATGAGAAGAATCGCGGGTAACGGACATGTCATGAAGTTTTGTGGGTATTATGGGTATGTATACGGGCCTAAACCTCATCCAGCTTTTGTTCGAGGCTTCACCTCTAACCTTTGCACACCTAAGTGTTACCTGCAAGGCAGCAGGGATCTGGGAAATTGTTTTAACTTCCGGCCGTTGGATCGATTGTCGATCTCTTTCGCCGTTGTCAGGACTGACGTTGCACGTGGATACGAAGTCACCGAGAATAGTATTTCCGGCTACCCTCACCTGGTTTAGCTCGCATGCCTGACGATTGAACGGGGTATGGCCGTTGCCGCCTGCAAGCAACTTCTTGGAGCCACTGGTGAGAGCTGGGTGACAGGTGGAGACCAAAGATAGGCGGACTACCCAGGCGAGTATGTCAGATCCCTTACCTGAGGTGCTACTCCTCCTTGGTACCCCGGAATTTGTCCGTAGTAGCATAAGGAACAATACTCGCTTTCCCGAGTCTCGGTGCTACGTGTGATTTCAGGTTCAACTGTGCCGCGTAGTTCTTTTTCAGCCCTGGTTTAGTTTGGTCAAACAAGGATGCGTAATTTTACAAAATCCCGAAGATTTGCGGACGAGCTTCCCCCGTGTCGACATTTAGCATGATGCCAGGTTGACATCTAATCCCATCACGAGCCAACATCTTAGGGCCGCGTCCCCCAGAAACGCACACTCAGATGTGATCCGTCCAGTTGCGGCAAAATATGCATGCAAGAATCGTGCCTAGTGCATTCACTATCTAGTGTCAGATCATACTTGTATTGTAGGATGATCTACTTTTTACAGTTTCGATAGTGCATCAGATTGTGTCAACGTATCTGCGGTGCCGGTATCAATCTCGAAATCTACAGATTGCTCGTTTATTTCGATACACACGACAAGTAGTTACTCCGTTGTGATATTGTGCTGTTTATCTAATTCTGGTTTAACTCCTCAGTGATCTTATTCGTAGTTTTGAGCTTTCCCTACTCAACGGAATTTCATTTGGAAAGATACTTTTTGCATGTGCTCCTCTTTCCCCACAAAATCCGCATAACAAAGGGAGATGCTGACAATCACCACAGCGATAGCAACCGCATTCTGCGATGTACGGAGTGAGATAATATATGACCAAGTTTTGTCTGAGGGATTGTATCTCCTGCGAAACTGTCTGATCGGATGAGGAGAACCCCGTTAGTTCCTGAACGCGATTGGCACATTGCTTAACTATGTAACAAGCTCTTTCCCAAATCAAAGTCTTTCTGTCTCCCGATAACAGGCGCTCTCGTGTTTTCTTGCTAAGAACACCAACAATTAATGCGTGTAAAAACATGGATGCTTCGATGTGGTTTGGCCTTATCTGGTTATAGACAGTCACGCAGAGCTGTCAAGAGTCTGAAAATAGACTCATTTACAGTTTCGTTCCGCTGTTGCTGCTTTGTGTTAAATTTGCAACGTGCTATAAACACATGTGGCTTTTCACCCCACAGTCCATTAAGTGGGTATTAAACAACTTGTAATCCTTGTTTCATGTACATCTGCAGACTATCAAAATTCGCTACTCCTCATTGCCCAGGAAATGACGCGGTTATTTGATTTTTCGCACCTCATACATTGTACCTTTATCACCAAAGAGAGCAAGTAGATTCACATAATTGGTGAAGAGAGATTTTCACTGCAGCCATTGTTGCGTACTAGGCCTTTCCGTGAAAGAACAGTTGAGGTGAGGTAATTGAATCGTCATTAATGATCCTAATAACCTCCGTCGCCAATTTGTTCCGCTGATTCGAAATCGGAAAACACAGCTACGTTGTATGGCGCTTATTCGCATAAGCAGCATGAACAGTTGCACACCAAAAGAAAGCGCAGCACAGTCGAAAGCTACGTGCGTCACACGGGCGCTGGACCAAACTCATCGATCAATAGCTGTGGCAGACGGCCAGTAGCCGAAATGTACCCACGCGTACGCACGTACACCCCGAGCGCTTGGCACAGCTTCCACTCCGTCTGTTCAGTTTATTGTCCTACTCACAGGGTGTAACTCATCTTGATAACTTGAATTCTGATTCAAAAGCCCTTTGCTTTCTTCTTTACACGCCTGAAGATCGTTTGAAAACGTGATGCAGTTGTTTGCCGAAGCATGCACGGAGGAACGGACTGTCCACAACTCGTTATCGGAGCCGTCATTGTTCCAGTTTACTCGCGATCAATTCTCGGACATTAAAACTGTCGCTGCGGATGATATGTACCCGGATCATTCTTCTCGCCCTCCTGCAGTTGTAACCTTCCAGGATCCACCATATCAAACGGTTCGTGTTTCCTTACTTCTAAATGCATTTCCTCTCCTTAGCCCACTAACCCTCACTTTTTCCTTCATCTCTGGGATCTTAGTGTACATTAGTAATTGCATCTACACTTTCTTTTCTGCTGGGCACAATGTAGATTGTTGCTTGCGGAGTGTTTGCCGTGTCTTGCTCTCACCACCAATCTCCAGGCATCAAGTACAGCAAGTTCGTCGCAGTCAACTCCTGGGGAAATAGCGTGCCACCATCCTGGTAGGCGCCAGACAGCCGTTTCGTCCCACAGGGACACGTCAGCGGCGCACACTCTCCGTCCCCACCACCTCCAAGTTATTATTATTATTATTGTTATTACTAATGTCTTTAAGCACCGCATTATGCAGCTTATTCTTAGCCTGTGATGTTAACATTGATACGCCATTACATTGCACTGATGCTCTACCATTATGCAATCTCGGACTGGTTTACTTACTGGGTATACCAGTCTTTGCATAAGCGGAGACTCGGATCTGAGGTTAAGGACAGCAAGCCGGACACTTTTATCACTGTACATGTCGCAGTAATGCACCTTGTCAGCTTTTGGAATCCTGTTATTCTTGCCGCCCGCTGTCTGCGCACGCTACTACTTTTCCCGGGACTCTAACTACGCAGATAGCTACATGCTTGTCTGAGGTTGCACTGATGATCTAACGTTTACAGCAGCTTTCTAGTATCGTGCGACCTCCGTAGCGCAATTTACATAACACTTCCGATTGTGTGAGATAGGGCTCGCAGCTGCATATTTACTTTAAGCATGATCAGCTGAATGACCATGAACTGAGTTCACGGTTCAGTGGACCGGCTTATGCAGTCCCAGTTCTATTCATATCAATTAAATGCCAGATGGTCGGTAGGGAGCCGAAAGGGTTACACCCTTGTTTTTTAATCCGGAGATTATTGATTCGAATCCACGCAGGTGCAGACGACCGCGCGGTATACCCAGCCCACGCGCGACTGCTGATGGTCTCGTGGCAGCGAAGCGTCGGTACGATGTGCCGGTGCATTGTTAATAGTTTTAAATGCCGATATACAGTGGATCCGGATATCACGGTTACGGTCGTGCTGACGCTGCCAATTAACAACTGCTCAACTCGGAATACAAATGAAAAGGTAAAGGAAGATTCTTCGGCGATGAATATCATCAACCATATTCGAAGAACCGAATGCAGAAATTCTATCGAATCCACTCCAATGTCATGTCGGAAATGGTCTCCATCCACTGACTTACCTGACCACAGACGCACACCCACGAGCACGACAAGTATCGACTCGATCACGTTTCTTTCTCATACCTTCGGTGCAGCCTATAACCGACACATAGCGCTTTTACAGCGATCTCGTGACAGTCAGCTCCTGGTAAACAATCCCTCAAGAATCCTGAAAAGCACTGAACAATCGTTTCGTCCTATCTGGAATCGGTGGTAGTGTACGTATCTGGGCTCTGTCGGGAACCGAGCTCAGGCGTCTCGACGACAATGGCCTATGCCTCAAGGCCATGGATGATGGCGGCAGATCGTCGCAATTGATAGCGAAATGTGACACAACGCAGCTTTTGCTCCATTTGCCATGCAGGTTATGAGCTTCTCAGATGATAGAGTTGACCCACAGAACTACGACTTCCCGTACGGGAGTTATTTGCTCCATGGCATTTCGTGGCTGTTAGTACGGACGCGTGGAGTCTGTTTGGGAGCTGATCGCGACGAACTACCTAGCAATTATATCAAACTCTCCCACCTATATGCACACCGGTAGGGTCGACCAACTGTTTTAACGAGTATCTAATTACACCAGCGCATGTGATTTCAGTTCAATAGACACTTCAGGGAGGCACCACAGGGTTTCCTCCAATGCACCACCTGGGGGACTTCAGTGTTGATCGCCAGCTGCGCTCAGTGCTTTGCAACCACTGGTGCTCCAATCCGGCTATCTTCCTCATGCCTTCGGGGCGAAGTATCCATGTTTCTGATCCACACAGTAACACCGACCTTATCGAAACTTTGTGTACCCTGCTGTTAAATCTCAGGTTGACTTTTCTCCCACCCACCCTCCGATGATTAAAAATTTGGTGATCACCAGAACTAACGCAGCTACCGTCTTATCTAGACCAATAGACCGCTTCAAGTGTCTGTTCGATGTTAGATGGAACTGGTGACATGTGAGCACAAAATTGCAGTCTGAAAGTGCTGTGGGCATGCCGAAGCGTTCAGCGCCATGCACCAATTGACTCGGAATCGCTTTCACTGGGAGTGGTCTCGATGCAGAGATCTTTGTCGTCCGCGTCTGTCATTCAATCACTCTGTAAAAATTCCGCTATACTAATTGCACTGATGACGGTGGATATGAAGCAGATCGGACTTCTCCCCCTTCTTCTCGTTGGGACTCGCGATTGCCGGACTTCCTTAGCAATCGATATAACACGATCGATCGTTTTGAGGTGGATTTTTGGGTCATTTAAAATCAACCTTTCGTCGCTTAAACACTCGATAGTGTGTATGTCGATGTGATCAATACATCCTCGACACGGGTAGATGTCAACCGGAATTTAACTGGTTCGACGCTAGGAGCCGTGAGTCATCGTGGTGTATGAAACTTGTAATACAGTTAGTACTTCATTGATCTTGAAAATGAATATGACGGTAGGCAACTACTAGTTTGAAGTTGCTTCTCTATTGACTAGTCACGTGTCGAGTGGAGCGGCTAGATCAACCACCATTAGGTCAACTTTATCTTTCAGAGATGATGGATATTATCGTGCTCATACGTGAGTTTAAGTAGTTCGCCACAACAAGCTCACTGCATTATTTTACAGAAGTCCTACCCAACGATCCGGTTGACTTGCTTAACGATGAATCGACTGTCCATCTTCCTCAGTTATTACCCCTCTAACTGAAAAGTTCCTTAAACTCGTGCTCCGGACTGCTTACGACTGTACTCAGCTTTGATCACTCGTACTCACCTTTTTCACCTCAAGAGCTCTCACTGATCAAACACACCTAGCATATTTTAGGATTCCTAATTGTACGTCATTTCAGCATGTCACTGATGCTTCGGAATTGGACGCTTCGTCCAGTCTTGTTTCACGATAGTGATACAGCCTAATGTTAGTGAAGTAAAAACATCAGCAATTGTGTACTTTACCAAACCGTCTAATCATTTGAAGAAAACGTTGGTATGGTCTGACAACTGCAAGAGCACTGTCGTTATTTGTACTGTAAAAAAGTAGTCAGCTGTAGGCCGTAACGGCGTTTCACTGCCGCGCAACCACCAAGCGCGTGGGCTGAGCATACCGCGAGACGCCCGCCGGGCGTGCAGACCACTCGATCACCGGTCAACTAGTTCAGACTAGGGTTTGTAGCTCGTAAGGTAGCGAACCCCATAATCCTCATCCACTGAACTATCTAATGATAGAAATTAGTCTGCAGCTGTGAAAACATGTTACACGGTACAATTTCCTGGACAACAGAATGTGTCACTCCTTTAGCTTTCCGGGCGCTGTATAGCGATTTTTGAGCACATCTGCTGTATGCACATTATGCTCATCTATTTTCAATTTCTCTTGAGCACAATGTGAGCCTCGTATCTTTTTATTCAGTACTTTCATCTGAACGACCAATCAGTGCTACAGCTAACGAAGCCGGACAAAGGTTAGCTTCAGCCGATACTTTTGCTGAGTTACGCGTACACCACCCGGAGCTCCGATGAGACCCAATGAATAATCCCTAAGGTGTCAGCAAACACACGTGAGGGAGATCGGTGATTGGTTGCTTTGGGGATAAAAGCCATCCGTCACTCGCCACGTCTGCATTTATAATCTGCCACCGATCTTGAAACTCGGACATCGCGATCATAATTGAGTGCAACTAACCAATAAGAGATAAGGCAAGTGTCATTGGTGCGCCGTTTAACAGTGTGACGAACAACATGTGAGCTACGGAATCTAGTGACTGCTTTACACGGTAAAACAGTTTTGAGGAAATATTCGTACTGGCCCATTTCAATCTTACACATAGACCTTTTCTCTGTGCAACCTAGGGACCTGGATACTTTTTAATATCTGACATAGTGAGTGTTTGATTGCCTATGTATATTAGTGTCTAAAAAAGAACGTGATCTAACCTTATCAAGTTCACTTCATGAATGCTACTCCGATTCGGTGAATTGTGTATCGGGCAACAATCCTAGTGATACTTCACCTCACCTTTTGTCAGTGTTGCAATAACACTTGTCACCTACATCGGCCTCGTTTCTTTACGATTGAAGCTCCAACCCATGTGTTACATAGTCAGGTAACGGACTTTTATTCGCGTTTCATGCCTGTGTAACATACATACAACACATTCCTGTGAAATATCACTTCTTTATAGTCCAGAATATCCTACCACTTTTGCCGCTTTATACGACAGCGTAATGGGATCCTCTTCTTAGGAACATCGGTCCACCATTTCTTACTGATTTCTGTGCTCACTTATCGTGCTGTGAATCTTTCAGCGTACCCGTTTTCACATACTGTTGATGATATGCGTTCTGCCTGGCCCTCGATCGTTTCTTTAAAGCACATTTTGCGGGCTTTCGCAAAGGTAGAGCGCGTCAATGCTTTTATGCAGTTTAGAGAATAGAAACTGTTAAACTTGAAATATTTTCATGTTGGCTAGCGGTGCTAAGGTCGTGGGCAGGCTGTTTAGTATTCTGTTATGGCTTGCATCCAGGAGGTTTAAATTATTACCCATTGTGTCGGGATTTTGATCGCAAAGTGCCTTTCGTTTACATTGTCGAGTATTGCAAGACAGCCAACAATTTTGGAGTTATGAGGACGACAGGTGACCTCATTCACTTGGAGCACATTACGTTAACAAGAATCAAGACCATAAATTGTTGCGGCGTTCAGAATTCTTTTCGGGTAAACCCTCACCGGATCCAAACGATCCCCTACCACTGTTTATGTGTGGTAAGAGTCAAATCGGGCTTGGAAT